AGACCTACCACTTCCAAAAGAACTTGCTCACCTAATATTCTCTTTCTCTCTCTCTTTACCTCTGGATCCTTCTCTATCTCTCGATATATGTTACTTCATGCTTCATACCTCATTTACCGTAAAACTTCAATTAATAACCGAGTCCCGAATAGCTGCCTACCCCGTTTACTGGCCTGGTGTGGGAACACATTTTGACAAATAAACGCAGGTCCCTTTAAATGCCTGGTCTGGTTTTTATGTAAGTTCTTGGGATGTATAAAACCTCTTAAACCCTGCCGGATCGCCCGCTTTAGCTGTTTCTAAGCTGCTTAGATCGTTAATACAAATATTAATGTTTAAAAGTATGATCAATATGTCCGTATGGACATGCACACATCGTTAGACCAGTTAGATACTCCACAATTCAATCGTTCAGTTCATTTAATGAAAACAGCAAGCAACCAAAGTGTAATTGTCACCTGTCTTTTTGTGTGTGTGACCCTTAATATTACTCAAAGGGTTACTTGTGTTGAAAATAACTCGAGCAGAATTCCATAACTAGTAGTCTTATGACAATGAACAAAGTTACATTCACAGAACATACATTCTGTATGGTCACTGGGAAAAGGCTCATGTGGCATGAATATACCCTAAAAATAAATCCCTCAGATACAGTGAAGTAGTGACCATCTATTCTTTACAGCAAAGCTTTCTAAAAGGTTTGCTTACAAGGAAAAAAAGCAAGATTGTCAAGAGGTCTAACAAAGCGAAGATGAACTGCAGTGTAATGTTACCGTAGGTTGTACCTCTTCAGTAGTGACATGATGGTCACTTGGCTGCCCTCTCTGACACCCCCTCTCTCTCTCTGGATACAAGCTGCTCTTCACTCTTAAGTGCTTCCTCTGAACCACAACATTTCTGGGGCTGCATTGTCATGAAATGGCCCCTTGGGAATCAACCTCAGACAGTCAAACCACGATGGAGGGGATTCTTAAAGAGACTGTGGTGTATATGGAGAAGGGGAGGTAGTACAAGTTCAAGTAGGGTACACTCATTAGCTTGTGATGTTGTTTCAACAGTTTGCACGCTGTTCAACCTCTAGCAGTTATTCTGTCTGAGTTTTGTGGTCTCAGGACTGCGATAACTCAAACAGAGAAAAAGCAGCCAACCCCTACATGCGAGAAGCTGGAACCACGCTATCTCAGGTAGCATGAGGGAGGTTGTTCTTCAACTTTTCTTTCTTGTTATCTCTCTGCATCTCAAATTGCTTTGTTCTAAGTCAACACACAGTGCTGGTTTAATGCATCGAGACCTCAAATCACATTAAAGATATACTGGTTAAAGTAAATATTGTTAAAGTTAAACTTCACGGTGTCTCCAACAAAAGTAAGGTAAGCCCACCGAAGCCCTCTCCCTTCATAGCGTTAAAACGAGGCTGAGGGCCAATTTGCATTATTCACTCTCCTTTTAGCTTTGTTTTGGTCTTCACCAACTCCTAAGGGAAACAAAAGGTCTTTATTTTTATAGCTACAGCTACTAAAAAGCTTATACGTAGTAATTATTTCGATAAAATATGGATTAGAACAGCTTTAAACATTGTCCTATTTTAATTTTAAGACATGGGCAAAACATGATGTTAAATAAGGGTGTCACTTTGTGTTGAAAAGTAGTGGGGACATTAAAAAAACAGTTGTCAGGTGTCAGTTCATAAATATAAAAATATAACTATTTAATATAATTTATATATAAATAGTATAATAATATATATTTTTAGCACTTGTTTCTTCTATATTTAAATTGCATTGCATGTTTTCTTATTGTGCAAAGAAACCTTTCTCAAAGCATTTCATTTGTTAGTTAACATTTTTTGGTGCAAGGTATTTTCAGAACATTTTAAACAAATGCTTTAAAAAAGTGATGGGGACAAAATCAGCTATTTCAAAGGGTGGTGGGGACATGTCCCCAGCGTCCCCAGTGTAAATGACACCTATGATGTAAAGCATTGTAAACCAACAGGTCTATAACTGAAAGATGATTCATGTTTTCCTGAAATTGGAAATGGGAAGCTTTGTGTGGTTGCAAACCCTACTGGATATCTTTAATGATACTCAATTAGGGTGCTATTGTTTTTCTTCATCAGCTGTGGTCGCTAAGTATGATAGTGGTGATCTGACTCCAGAGAATAATTGTGTAGATATCCTCCTCCTGTGAAAATCCCTCAAAGCTTTTGTTGTGGTTCAGGCTCTTTCTCTCTCTCCCTCTCTCTCTCTGCAACTCACAGTTAAACTTGCCCAAGGCTCTGCGGGGAGGACAAAAAGGGGGGAACCATACTGGCATGGAGCAGCACTCCATTTACCCTGTAATGATAGAGAAAAGGAGAGAGAACAGCCCCAGTGGGTCCATGTACAGTACATAGAGCAGAGCCTCTTGTGGTTTTACGGACAGATTTAACTACAAAATGGCCCTCTGTTGCCGCAGCGATGGACAGCTATTAACATGTTTTTTTCCCGAGGGAGAGGAAGTCTCTCAACATCCTGTACCTACCCACTGCCACTGAGGTGAGGTTATGCCAGGTCACACATACTACAGGGTACGTACCACATAGTGTGCTTATTATCAGGGCAACGTAATGACACCTTACTCTATCTGGACTGTATTAGTTTTATGCCGGAAAGTGCCATAATTGTAATTATAACTTCCAGCATCTGTGGTCTTAATCGGGTATGAATCTGCCATGCATGTGATTCTTATAAATCTGGAAAGTGAAAATACACAGCGACTTGTTTGTTTATTTCTAAGGGTTCGTACAAAAATCATTACGGGGATGATGGAATTGGAAAAGTGAGACTTTGCCACCTCTTCTTTTTTGGAGGAGGATGTTGCAGTTTCTTCTGAGTCAGGGTCAACAGAGTCAACAGAAAGCCATAATATATACAGTTAAGATGATAAAATGTAGATTGTAACAATATAAGTGAAGAGGATGGAACCAGGTGGACAATTGAGCAGCCTCAGGTGTCACCCACTAAGGGAATCTAAAGGGATCTGAGCCACACCACCTCCTGTCGACCATAGTGACCTGAAAAGAGGACAGACAAAAACGAACACAACAGTGTTTACACAGATAAAAGAAATCGCAAAGTTCTACAGTGATTGGGCTCGGCCGCTGCCTGGGTGCTCTCTAGCACCCACAAACGCACACTTTGATCTCTGAGTTTTTTGGGGGGTCATTACTCTCATCATAAAGAACATATTTCAGTTTCTTTTAAGCGAGTTTACCCAACAGGAAGTCAGCGTCAGCATCAATTATTGCACACGATTGAGGCCTTTAGGATGCTCAAAAAGTCACAAAACTTTGTGCCCGTAGTTAAACTGGTAAATATTCGATTTGATGTCACATTTTGGCTTAGAGGTGGCATGTCAGCTCAATAGCGCCCCCTAATGACTTTTTAACCTTCAAACAGCTATGGATGCTTGAAAACACGTGAAACTTGGTGCAGGTGTCAGAAGGGTGTATTTTGTTGTCTGATAATGGGACTGGGGAATGGGAATGGGTGTGGGAAAATGGCTCGATAGTGCCCCCTACAAAACTCCAACAAAGCAGCCCTCACAGTATGTTTCACCTAGATGTATGAAATTTGGGTGGTGGATGTATCATCTCTAAACTTCTAAGCCTCTTGGAGTGATATCCAAAACCGGAACAGGAAGTCAGCCATTTTGAGTTTCCTGTGCTATTCAGGATCGAAAGAAAATATTATTAACTCTGGGGAGGGCCTTACTTTTGAAACAGGGTGTTTAGCGCCCCTCCCCACCCCAGTCATTTTGGCACTGTACCTTGTCATTTTTATATATACATATATATATCTCACAGAGAACAACATTCATCTACAAACATCAAATCACATCATTGAGAAAAACAATAATTGAGGAGTTTTTTTGGTCTTTTGTTTTTTCCTCATTCGTCACATTACAGGCAAAGGTCCTGTATCAGAGCTACAGTCACTTCAAGTTTCCATCAGCTCCCTGCTTTTGTTTATGCTGGCATGCAATTAAGGCAAGTTGTTCAAGCTGGGCCAGCAGTAAAAGCCTCGAGGCTGCTGCAAATCTGAGATACACACAGACCTTTTAAAGCTGTGATTAGGAGAGTTGGTGATTTAACCCCTGGCTTCAGGCAGGAAGTGTTAATGTGGTTGGAGCAAATCATTCACTTACTGTGTCTCTCTCCAATGAGGAACTGGCAGGATTTAGAAGTTGCACACACACAGAGAAACAGACACATTGATTTCTTTTCATTAGTGTTTTTTAGGGTGCATCGAATACTGCATGAGGCCCTAGTCCTTAGTTGCACTGTAGATCTTCTGTGGTAGGTATATTGCCCCACAAAGTCAAATTCCAGTAACAGTATGAGTAGTGAAGCAGACTGAAATTATATGAATTATATCTAAAAAATGATGTTTTGTGGAGCATCCTGGTTGCCTAGAGTTTTAAGATGCTGACATGCCGCAGCATCCCCAATTTGAGGACCAAAGGGACCTTTGTTGCATGTCGTCCATCTCTCTCTCCTTGTTTCCTGTCAGCTATCTACTTTTTAGTGACTAATAAAGAGAACAAATGCTTTAAAATTAAGATTGTTTATGGTTGTAATTTAGGTTTTATGAAATTCTAAATTTCATAAAACATTACATCTCACAAAATATTTCCAGGCTGGTTGTCATGAGAAACAAGACAAATTGGTGAGGCTTGCCAGGAGTGACGCATTGTACTAGTGTCTGTCTAATTAAGACAGAAAATATGCAGTAGATCTGTGGTGTACATGCAATTTCATGACCACACATAAAACATCTTCCAAATGCTTTAATTTGCATATTCAAGTGCCTTTTTGCATTTTTGGCCTTCAGTAGCTGAAAAAGGCTTTTATCAGTCATAATGTTCTGTATGATATCCTCTTCATATTCAAAGTGGTCAGATTAATTCATGAATTATACACTCCGTATCTTCCTCTGTCTGTGTCTTTGTCTGTCCAGATGCAAAGGAGAGGACAACCAGAAGTTTCTCAGTCGGCGGCGTCTTCAACTACACCTCTCTCCTTCTCAGTAAAGAAGACAACATGCTGTATGTCGGCGCTCGGGAGATTCTCTTTTCTCTCAACCTTACTGACATCAGCGCAGTCAAGCTACACAGAAATGTAAGAGCCAAGCGTCTATAAACCGCAGTATCACATACAGTATACTGTATCAATATGAATGAAGTTATAATAGGATCCCAGAGGTACTACATGAATATGGTTTTAAATATGATACGATCCCAGAAGTCCTAAAGGAAACCGGGCATTTTCTGTTCGAACCCACAATTGTGGAACGCCCTACCTGAGGAACTTAACTAACTCAGTACCTTCTTTTAAATCACTCCTCAAAACATTTTTTTTTCGTCTTTTTTTTATACAGTATTTGGTATTTAGTTTTATTGCTCACTCTGTTGTTTCATCAGGTTTTATGTTTTGTTTTTGTTGTTTTTATCTTGACTATGTGTGCGCTATTTTATTCTGTAAAGAATTTTGTAACTGTTTTGGAAAGTGCTATACAAATGAAGTTTATTATTATGAATGTGAACATAACCCACTTCGCTGTGTGATACCTGCAGTATGAGTCTGACGGTGTTTCTCTCCTGCAGCTCACGTGGAAAACTCCTGAGAGGAAGAGAGATGAGTGCAGTTTCAAAGGGAAAGACCTGCAGGCAAGTGAACCGCTGGTGTTAAAGCTCAAGTAGCTAAACTCAGATGGCTCAATCTGTGTTTACATGACTGCAGGTTGGCCTCGTTGGTCAAGTTCACCATTGTTGCATGGCACTTTGGAAGCAGACTCAGGGCAGAACCCTGGAAATTTCCTGTCAAGTTGTAACTTTCCATTCTACAACAATGGATTTTTCCCTTCCTTTCAAACAAATGTTGCCTCTATTACACTCTTTCTTTTGTCAGCTTTCTACACTACCACTTTTATATGTAAACATACAGACCTAAAACATTGTGAATTTATGATTACTCGTTTGTTAGGAGGGAGCTGGAGGAATTAGTGGTTTTTTTGAGCAATCTCAGAATTTCTGGATGAAAAGAAAATAGCACAAAAATTTAAATGAAAATTGGGTTTTAATAATACAATTTGCAGTGCAAACACTCTAGTATGACAGTTTGTTGTTTTTGTGAAATACTCTGCTGGACTGTGGTGAAGTCTGCAGATAAGTGTGTATTTTTTTTATTTTTTTTATCTTCACTTTCTAATAAGCTAATGTAAACTACTGTGTCTTGAGACAGGAAAGAAAATAAAAATCTGTGTATTTAGAGAAAATGGGAAAAATACAAACACAATCAGCCTTGTTTATCTTTATAAATACAACCTATATCTATGCTAACTGCAAATAAATACATTTCTACCATTTTCATTTTTCGAATACAGACGGATTGCTTCAACTACATCAAGATTTTACTACATGTGAACAGCACTCATCTGTACGTGTGTGGAACATATGCCTTCAGCCCCACCTGTGCTTACATAGTAAGTGTTTATATGGACTGTCAACATCTGTTGCAGTGACCTGCTGTGTGTAGCACAGCTCTGCCTGTGCATGTATTGCTGAGGACTAGATCTAAAAAGCTGTGTCATTCATTGTTTCGTTGTTCTTTTTTTGTTGTTGTTTTTTTCAGAAAAAGTGATTACCCCTGATGCAGGATTTTATAAGTGATGTTTATTTATTAGATTCTAGAGGAAGGGCATCTAAAATCTGATGCATGCTGCTTCCTGCCTCTCAGCTCACTTAGCAGTCTGGCTGAGCCCCATGCCCACCTAGATATAATAATAAAGTATGTGCATTATTTTATTATCTCCTGTGCCAAAGGGAAATGGATAAAAATATTTAATGCGTGGAATCAGATTATATAAGAATCGACACAAATCTTTTCAAGCCTTTTAGAACAATCAATGACAAACATACAAGGAAGACCTGTGCTTCAACTCAAAGACTGATTGACCACCTTTTCACTGTGGGACAGACCGACAGCCGTCACTGTCAGAGCAGGTTACAGCTCTACTTAAGCAATGACATTTGACGTGTGTGTATGTTTTCTCCAGAACACTGCAGATTTCTCCCTCGTCAAGAGCCGTACTGGTGAGATTGTTACAGAGGATGGACGAAGCCGCTGCCCGTTCAACCCCGAATACAAGTCCACTGCTATCATGGCTGGTAGGTCACAGAATGGCTGTCAGCTGTCGATAAAATCAAGCTTTATTTAGATGTTTTCATTTATATAAGCCACTGTGGGAATCTGTAAAGTAACAGTACACAGGTGGTTGATATGGAGAAAAAATGGAGTATAACCTCTGGATTTCATTACTCTGTATGACGCAGAAGCCCATTCCCTCATGTCAAACACTGTAATACTGGTCTTCTTCACTGTGTTGCAGATGGAGAGCTGTATGCTGGTACAGTCAGTAATTTCCAAGGAAATGAACCCATCATTTACAAGAGTCTAAGCCAAGGAACTGCTCTAAAAACAGAAAACTCACTCAACTGGCTTCAAGGTACAGTGCTTCGGCTGGAAGGCAATGCTTTTCATAATCTCTTCATATTTAGGTTATTTTTTCCTTGTATTAACTGAGCATGTTATTTGTTGGGTGTGGGCGAGAGTGGGTGTGCGAGTTATTTGTAAATGTGTATTTGTAATATATGTAGTTTTGTAATGTTTTGTTTTGTATTTGTTCATGATGTATTTGTGTTACAGGACCCCCTTAAAAATGAGATGCTGCATCTCAAGGGGCAATCCTTCAATAAATTCAATTCAATTCAATATTAACAATAATATATATTATTTATTAAATAATATTTAATATCACAACAGTTTGTCCAATATATGATGAATGAGAAGTTTATACAAAATTAGAGATCATGTTGATGAAAAGTGTTTACCTGAAGTCTGCAGTCCCTGTTGTAATTGAATTTTCCATTTCATGTGTTGATGTCAGAGGGAATAGGGACATCTGTCCCTGGATGCCTGACTTTCATATGCTGTCGGTTGACAGTATTGTTCCCGTCGTTTTTCTTTCAGACCCGGCCTTTGTTGGCTCTGCCTACATACAGGAGAGCCTGCCCAAGGGCAACCTAGTGGGTGATGATGATAAGATTTACTTCTTCTTCAGTGAAGCAGGGAAGGAGTTTGATTTCTTTGACAACACCATTGTGTCACGTATTGCTCGCGTGTGTAAGGTGAGTGATGCTTGAAGGCAGATAGTCCATCCAAAGGGGGGCCTTTTTCCCCTTGAGCAACACCGTCTCCCATCACTATAGGAGTCTATCAGTTTGTTTGCATGTTTGTGTTCAGTATATACTCCTGTACAGGCGTGTATGCAGTCTTCAGAAAGCTTCCCTACAGCCTACATATGATGAGTATAGCTCACATTCTTTCTCGGCAGTGACGCAGGATCTCTTGTTACAGAAAAACATTCTTCTGTTTGATTCTTTTTCTCCAGATACTCTCCTCCCTCAACTCTTATCACGTTTCACCAAATATTTGTGTTAAGACAGGACTCAACTCAACTGAAAATGGCTTAAGATTACTATAGCACAAGATCCATGCAGTTCTCCAGATCAGACTGCAGCTTGGCTCTGTGAAAACAATCATGTTTATCACGGTCCAAGGAGATCCTAACTTTGTTGTACTTTGCATGGAGGGCCAGTATACTTTTTATTTTCTCCAGGTGTGTGTCTGACAGTCATCCTGCTGTCATGTAAAGGCAAGACACCACCTACAGTATGTGCATCTACCAAGGTGGTACTACAGAAAGCCCAGCTGTGAATCACTGCTCACGGAGTTCTACTTTCTTCATCTTCATGCGATTACTCACTCTGTTTTTCCAGACATCCCATTCGAAAACAATAAATCCAGTCAACAGAGTTATATAAATATTCATTCGTGTAGATGATGGGTTTTCTCACATATGGTTAAAATATGTGCTGAATATAAAGAATCCTGGTACAGATTACCCATAAGGAAATGAGTAATGATGCAATTTTCTGTGTGCTTCAACAAATAAATATAAAACATAAGTTTTTTTTAAAAGTAACATAACAACATAACAGAGCAGAAAAGATGGTGCCAGTTCTTTTAAATAATACCATCTAGTGATCAAATAAATTCTAACTTTAAATTTGATTCTGTCCCCATCTCTCTTATCCCTTGTTTGTCTTATTATGTTGGCTGCAGTCCCCCTCTTTGTTGTTTGTTGAGGTGTTTAGTACACATGTTCCACCCCATCGAGATTTAACTACGGCATGATAAACAATGTTTTCCTTGCAAAACAAAGCATGTTCTCATTTGCAGGATTGTTCAGTTGCCCAGAAAGAAGCCATTACTGCCTGCCATATTCATGGCTTTTTGAACAGCCTTTTGAACAAGGGATGCTTTTACAAGGGATTAATGAACGGGATGCATTTGCTTCAATTATTCAGAAGTTTAAGCACAGAGGAGCATTAAATTATAAAACTAGGTTCAGCCAGAAGGACGAGAGACTATACTGTATGTTGCTCATTATCTGCCTGGGTTACTACAATAAGTAATTGCTTCAGAAGCTCAGTTGGTCATGTGTCATTTCCCTTCCCATCCACTGCTGCCATTTCCTCTGATTAATGTAATTCTAAAGTTGACTCAATTGAAGCTCCATGTTAGAGGGTTTCATGTAGTTTTAGATCATTTAGTATTTCTCTTTGGTCCTCTGCTCTGCACATTTCAAAAACTGTTTATTTCCTCCAACAGCCAATTTTCATCTTATTAGATGATGTGCGTGAAATAATTGTTGCCATGAACTGAATGTAAACAGTGTGGTTGGTGCAGAAGATCAGGGCACCTCCCTTTTAAAGCTGAGGTCTTTTTCTTTTTTTCTTTTTTTCTTTTTTGCAGAACTGAAACAGGCTCTTGATTTTGTGTAGGTGAAACATCTGTAGCCACCTTTCTGAGGCCTGAGAGTCCCTGTGGGAATGTAGTCTGTTTTACAGTCACACATCACGTGCTGTAAATCACTTTCACGTTGAGGTTTAAAGATGTAGTTGCTCTCCAATTTGCACAGATATCGTATTGTACAATCTGTGTAGCCAAATTAGTCTGCATGTCAAGGAGGTCTCGTGCCACACATCACTTTGAAGGCTATAGTGCCAAAGGCGGCGAATCACAGTGGTAGTGTCAGGGAAGAAGGATTGTCGGGGAGCCATGCCTCTTTTTCTCTTTCATTTAAAAGCATTTGCCCTCCTCAAAGCCCCTGGTGTGTGTGTGTGTGTGTGTGTGTGTGTGTGTGTGTGTGTGTGTGTGTGTGTGTGTTTTATCTAAGCCAGTTGTGATGATGTATATTGTTTTCATGACCTACAAGTCTGCTGCCTCGGGGTATATCTGTGTTACGGGCACAATTGATTTAGCTCATTATGGTTTTAAGTTCAACGTTTTTCAATTACATCAGTTTAAACAGCTTCACCTTTCAACACTTTCTTACTATCATTTAAAAAGTAGATGACAGAATTATTTTCCTAATATAACACACAATATGTATGTTATGGTATGTAAGGTATGCCAAGGCAACATAACATATGGTGCATATTATTATTTCATGCCTTTTATAAGCCTGTCAGATCCCATCAAATCAAACTGGGGTTTTTTTGTCAACAGTCACCTCCCCAGACAGGTATCAATCTTGTGTTCTTGCACCCTCTACTGGCCACATGTTAAACAGCTCCAAACCTACAATATTTGTGTTGCAGGGTGACATGGGAGGAGAGAGGGTTCTGCAGAAGAAATGGACGACCTTCTTGAAGGCTCAACTCTTGTGCTCCCTGCCCGATGATGGCTTCCCTTTCAACATAATCCAAGACATGTTTGTGGTGACGCCCAGCCCCGAAGACTGGAAGAACACTGTGTTTTATGGAGTCTTCACATCTCAGTGGTGAGGACACACTTTAATTCACACATCACCAAAATAATGTAGCAATACCTTTAGATATGTTGTGCAAATTTTGACAGATACGTTAGGAATCAACATGTCTCTTTGTCTGAGGTATGCTATAAAAATCTGATGGCAACCAAAGTGCAAGTGGGGCTGTTGCTACCTTCGAAGACACAAAGGTCCCCTAATATTTTTAGGAATTTTGGCGGGTCTAATGAATGAAGGTTGAACTCCCTGAAGAGAAGTTTGCAATGTATAATTACACACACTTTAAACATGTTTGGTTGTTTCGGGCTGATTCAGACATAAAATAAAATAAAAGAGATTTAATTTTCTCCGACACAAGGCAAAAGCAACATTTAGACCATGATGTAGGGAGATACAATTTATAAAACAGGACATTTAGTCATTTTGTTTTATCAGTACAATAACATTTCTGAGGTGGGTGGCATTCTTCTGGGGAAACTAATTTAATTTGTATTACATTTATTTTGACAGGGACCATGTACATTAATCTTAAACAACAGAGGAGAGGAGATGCTTTGTGCCAGATTAAGCTAGTAGTTACTTTCCTGTATTTCCTGGGCAGTGAAACAAGACAATGTTTCAAAAATCAGCGAGTCTCTGTAAAGAGTTGTTTAGGCTTTGAGTCTAAAACATGCCCTTTATAAGGTCACAGTTAAGATGCTTGTTTATGTGATATAAGGTATAAAGGTGCTTCAGGAAGCTCTGCAGTGTGTTCCTTCACCATGGACCAGGTGGAAAAAGCGTTCAATGGGCGATACCGTGAGGTCAACCGAGAGACTCAGCAGTGGTACACATACAACCATCCGATCCCGGAGCCTCGGCCTGGTGTGGTGAGTACCTGCCTGCTGCCCTCTGCTGGAGACCCTGTAGATACATACATGTCAGTACACACACCAGCATGTCATGTCAGCTGCATGAACGAGTTTCATACGTTCCTGTCTGCTCCCCAGTCACATCCTTGATTTAGACTGCCGATATCTGTCGAGCTGTTGTCACTCCACGCCTCTCTTCCTAAACACGATCCTTATCAAATTTCTGCCGCTTTCATTTCCTGGCAGGCTTATCACAGTTGAATCACTGAAAAATCCAAGCTAAAGAAACACGAGGTGCTGTACAGCTGCAGTCAGTGTCATTATCCAATGTGAGTGAATGTATGCAAATGACTCAATATGTTGCGTTTACAGTGTATCACAAACGCTGCCAGGGAACAGGGCATCTCCTCCTCGCTGCACATGCCAGACAAGGTGTTGAATTTTGTCAAAGACCACTTCTTGATGGACGGCGTGATCCGCAGCCAGCCTCTCCTGCTAAAACGTAATGTTCGCTACACGCAGATCGCTGTCCATCGAGTCCAGGCAGCAACAAAGGCGTATAATGTGCTCTTCATTGGCACAGGTAAAGCACTCCACACCCACAATCACACACATACACACACACACACGACAAACCCTTTGTGGCATCTTGTGGTTCTCAACATCCACAAAGAGTTTGATCTAATGTCACATTATACTGTGTCTTCCAGATGATGGGAGACTTCATAAAGCCATCAATGTCAACAACAAGATGCACATCATTGAGGAGATGGTGCTCTTCAGTGATTCCCAACCAGTGCAACACATAGAGCTGGACACTGACAAGGTATGGTAGAGTGCTGAGAGAGAAAACAAGCCCAGCTTCCTCATGGTGTGAACTAATAACAAGCTCAGTGTATGCATTTGTTGGCAGTTTAGAGATTCCATGAGCCATGAACAGTCACAGCCTAAAGCAGACCTCATGTTCAATAAGCTAATTACATGCAACATTTCTCTCAGGGGATCTGCAAACAGCTGGGGTTTTAACAGCTGGAATTGTAACACTTCCTGGCTCCTGGCTTGTCTTTAAATTCTGCTTGGATTTATACTTTCAGACAAAAAAAAATCTGATTAACTGATATTAAGAAAAGCTAAGTCTGCTGTATGTAGTTCAGGGTCAGACAAGGAAGATTCTGGATGAAATCAGTAACCCTTCCTTCTTGTCGCCTGCTTTGTCGTCCCTCTTCCACAGGGTCAGCTGTATGTTTCCTCTTTCTCCGAACTGGTGGAGGTCCCAGTAGCTAACTGCACTAATTATCAGAGCTGCGGGGAGTGCATCCTCTCCAGGGATCCTTACTGTGCCTGGAACGGGAGGCAGTGTGTGGATGTCAGACAGGCTCCACCGAGCAAGTATGCATCCCCTTTGCGCAACAATGTACAAACAGTTTTGCAGTTTAAAGCTTGTGCAATAACATTTCCGTAATAGGTAAACGTAAGCATTTGAAAATCCCATTTTCTGATTACATATATGTGCTTCAGTGCCTGGCAGCAGGATGTGGATGAAGCAGACACATCAGCTATTTGCAGCAAAACAGTGCCAAGCCCACGGTTTGCTAAACCTCCACCTACACGTAAGTGAACTCCTCTTCTCTAGACTGTCAAACATTTACACAGCACCACTATGCGCTGGATGTTTTCATGCCTTGCCTTTCATTGTGTTTGTTGTGTCAGACCAGTATTATTCTGAATTCTGCTCCAGATAAGGCAGAAGAAAAATTTAATGCAATATCTGACTTGATCCAGGTCTCTGCTTTGCTTTCCACAGGAATGTCTTCATGCCAGATGATCATTATTCCAGCCAACACGTTCAAGGTACTACCATGCAAGCTGCGCTCTAATTTGGCTGAAAGGAGGTGGGAGTTCAGCGAGAGTGCGGGTCACTTCCATTACCCCAGCCCAGAAGGGGGGCTAGTAGTGGTAGCTCAAGCTGACAGGCAGGAAACCTATGAGTGCTGGTCAGTGGAAGAAGGCTTTAGACAGCTGCTGGCAAACTACTGTGTGAGGGGCGAGGCCAAGTGGGAGAGCACCACCCTGACGGGGCGTTCACGTACACCACAGATCTCCCAGGGGGAGTTCATCATCCTGCCAGGAGAGGCCCGCTCCCCGCAGATCAACACAAAAACCTACTGGAATGAGCTGATAGTGGTGTGCGCCCTCCTGGCGTTTTCCCTGGTGGTGTTCTCTCTATATGTGATCTACAGGAACCGCAGCCACATGAAATCCATGCTCAAGGAGGGCGAGTGCCCCAACATGCAGCAGAAGAAGCCCAGGATAGTGGCAAAACCGGCTGAGAACTTGCCGCTAAACGGCAACACAGTCCCAGCGTCTGTGTCAGACCACAAGGGCTACCAGACCCTTAACGACAACTACATCTGCAGCACTCCACCGCACGAGTGCTCATCACCCGACAACAGCAAGAGCTTCTCAGAGTCGGAGAAGAGGCCTCTGAACTTGAGAGAGAGCCATGTAGAGATTTCCCCGACATGCCCACGGCCACGAGTCAGACTGGGCTCTGAGATTAAAGACTCTATAGTGTGAGGCCAGCGTCATGTTATGTGGAGTGACTCATTTTACACTGAAAAGAAAGAGTGCTCTTGCTGAGAAAGACAAACCCCTATAAGAGGGACAACTGAGGAACATCAGACTCGTCATGGAGAGACATTTCATCACACAGATTTTGCACTTTGTTTTTTGTTCTGTCCCTGTGGTCAGTGTACATTTTATTCTATTTTCCTCTCACACCCCTGTGCATTTGAAGCACACTGAAGAAGTTCCAGTTTGCCTTCAGACTTTCTGACGCTTTCACGTACGGCTCACAGGAATGTAATAAGCGTAGAGGTGGTGTCACAACTACGATTGAATTTCACAGCATTGCCACTCAGTCCGTCCATAAAATCTGCTGGTAATGCTTTCAAAAGGCAGAGGGATATTCTAACATGTTCCTTTCCCGCTAACAGCGGACACAGTGTTTGCTGTTGTATTTTCATTCTGTCGTTCTGGTTATGAGCCTACCCTTCGCCGAGGCTATGCACTATGTTACTGTTCTGTAGCAAAGTAAACACTCACACCAGAATATACATACATAATATATAACTAAAGTCCTGTCAGATCTTTTTTTTAGATAGCCAGTCACAAAAGGTTTACTCTTAGTTTTTTGCATATATACAACACAACTATAAAGTGAAAGGAAACGCAATCACCTCAATCACTACACACCAAAATAATAATAATATTATATAATCATGAATGAAGATACATTGTGCTTTATTTAAAGTATTGGTATTATTAGTCTATACAACTATTCCTCTGTGGAAGCCTGATTTTCGACGGGGTTTTCTGTCACCAAATGTGATAAAGGGAAAAAAATAAAATAAAAAATCTCATTCCAGGTATTATTATGCTGTTCTTTGTGAGATAGGCAGTCTATGCAAAGCAAATAATGTGAAGTGGGGTAATCACCAAGAACACCTCACCTCGAGACTGAGTAAGCACAAAGGTGTTGGCGCTGTTAATTACGTTAGGATCTGTGGCACTGCAAACACACACACACCCACGCACATAAACACACATACACACATATGCATGCACGCACACTCGCTGTCATTACTCTATAAAGTATGCAAGAGATTTTAGCCATTTTGGTGTGTTTCATGAAGGAAGACTGGCCAAACGTTTCTTCTACAGAGAGACATCGTTCATAGTCTTTAATGTGTGTCACTATTCTCAAAGGGAAATAATAATACATATTTAAATACTGCACTGCTTCATAATCTGATTTAAATAACACATATCTGTATAGCCTCAACTTTGATATACATATTAATTGATGAGCATTAATGAATGGAAGAAAATACCCTCTGCTTGCTTAAATAGTTTTAAAGGCAACCATAAAGGCAATAATTTTCATTCTCATCCAGTAACAAACATAGATCCATTTTAATTATCTTGATTAGACATCTTCTTATTCAGAAATAATGAATGATAAACAATATGAGCTACCAAACATGTGAATCAAATGTTAGAGGAACTTGATAGCATTTTTAATGTCATACATTACAATATTACTTACTTGAGTTTGGCTCTAGTGTTGTAATGCGGCCAGCAAAATTACAATTTCACAAAAATGCAGGAAAGTGGACTGCTCGACTCAGAATGCATAGTATTTGCACATGGTGTTGAAAAGCCTTAGTACAATGCAGGTTATTGATTTGACAACAAATCTGCCTTGGGGAAAATGGATAATGCCTTTTGAAACAATAATCAAGAGATGTGCCTCTTGGGAAATTAACTAACCAGGTAGTAGTGCTGTAGAGTCACATGCTACACTGCAGGTGTGACAGGACTGCCCACGCTCAGAAACACGAGAGACTACATGGAATACATGTAATTTAATACTGTAAGCGTTGTACAGTATGTGCTCATGAGGTGACTTTTTATTTTTTTTGTTATGGTGGCTTCAACTTCAAGTCAGGGACTACATTTTACTCTAAAATGGTAGCACATAAATAACCACTGGCTGATTTTAAAATATTGAATTATAGATAAACATTAGTATTATGTTACATTTCTTGTAAATGGCAAAAATGACAGTGGTCGGCTATAATCAATCATGCAGGGTGAAAAATTCATGCTTTGACTGTTATTAAAAACACACAAAGGGCAGCTTTTGGTGAAGTGTCTGTCATCAGAACAATATTAAATTTGCTAAGTGCAGAACAAACATAAAGTGGCAGTGATTTTAGTAAAATATGTGCAGGTACTGAACATGCTTTTTTTTAAATACAAGCCTAAACTATTAATGCCACAGTGAAAGTATCGTCTGCTCTCTCTCTTAATGAACCACTATAGTCTGGCCTTCTATTCGTGACAGTACAAGTTGCTCAGACTCTTGTCATCCTGTATTGTAAGTAAAAGTAGTTTTTATGTAAAGTTGTTTTGTAAATTCAGCTGCCAATGTAAAATATTGTGAATTGTATTTTTTTTTTGTATCATACATCACTACTGTTTTGTTTTCTTTTTTGTATTGTATATAAAAAGCACTTTATTTTAATTTTTTAAATAAAGATCAAATGGATACTTTTTTTTACTTGAACGGCTCTTTTTATTAAGTAAAACATGTCCTCTTCTCGTGCTGTTTTGTGTATTTATGCAGATGACCAAACAGCATGGCCACAATGTCACAGTTTTTCCAGATTGCTTAAACACATTTCTCAAAACTCTAAACACAAATCCAGAACTTCTCACCCAATTCCCCAAACTCCCTTTTTTCAGGTCAGAATGAAGCTCTCCACTGAAAACCATTCATTCTTGCTGAAAAACCAAACTTTCACCTCAGACATGACACACAAGCCCCCCAACACACATACCCACTACAACACAGTCTCACACACTGGTGAAATAAATTCAAAACAATACTACAAAAAACGTTCACATGATGAACACAACAAAAGACACAAGAAAAGTATACATTTGCACATTTTTTATTCCTGAATGTGCTGCTGTACAGTACAATACACCAAACGACAACAAAAAATCTTTCTGCCCCAGCATCATGCCTTTCAATCTCTTGCTCCACCTCCTATTTTTCCTCTTCCTCCACCACCTCTTCCTTCACATCTCTCTTGATCCATTGTTCCAAAACTGAATTGACTCGGGCACTTTTATCCATCTATTGAAGGTTCCATGTGGTTCAGGTGTGATCAGTTATGACTCTTTGTGTTCCCCCCGCTGGGTATTTGTGTGCTAATTGAGCTCAAGCTGTACTGACTTGAGTGAACAATATTGAAAGTTGGTGCTTTCTAAATGATCACACGGTGTAGGCAATGAGAAATTAAGATTTTTAGTGTGGAAAGTTGTGCAGTGACAGCTCAACAAATCTCAATCATGTGTCAGAACAGGCAATAGTGTTTATAGTTTAAATAAATTGGTTTGCTTTTTGATAAATGGCGTTATGGTTTTGAAATTTTAGTTCAAAAGCCTAAGCAAACGAGAAAAAAACTGTAAGATTTGGAGGGTTTTACTGTTAGGGTGTAGGCAGAAACACACTCTGCAAACCCAGGAGAACAAAGAGGAGTGTCTCTGATAAAAACTCACATGCACCACCACACACCTTAAAGGCAAACAAGAGGCAAGCACTTGCGTATCTGTTGAGTTTCTATTGTATTGTAGCTCCACCACTGCACACTTGGATGGCTCAGTATGAAGCCAAATAATAATCAACGTCGGTTGCTGCAGCAGCAGTAACTGATAAATTCCAGGTTGGAAGTGACACATTGGGTGAATTGATTCTGATGATACCCGCCTACACTGAGATCTGGACCAATGAGTAGCTCTTCAGTACCTCTGTGAGACCCTCTCTGAGACTTTTAACTGAGGCTTTTATTTTGGCTGACACGCCGCAGGGGTCAGTTTATGAAAGGGTTTGTATTTTAACTTTCACTATTTATATGCGTTTGTCTGTGTTTTTATTCGTTCAACTATGGACCGACCGAGCCTTCGGAGACTTTTTTCTGCTTGTGATGTGGACAAGTCCGGTAAGATCGAGTACGAGGACTTCACCGTTGTCTGCCGGGAGCTCAACGTCCCCGAAAGTGAGATCAAAACTCTGTTCGACAAGTTCGACGCGGACGAAGACGGGTGCATAGACTACAACAAGTTTTCGTCCAGGTTTCAGGAGGTTTCAGAGACTATGGACCTGGCGTCTTTCGGAGCTGGGTCGTCACAAACCCAGGGCTGTCCGTGGGAAGAGTTTGTGGGCAGGGTAGATGCGGAGTCTCTCCTCTCTGAAAGGTAAACTCGCATCCGGCTGCCCACTCCGTGTCGAGCAGGATTTAGCAAGCCGGCGGCTTTGTTACTGCTGCTCCTGGAACGTTATTTAAATAAATGTCAGTTAAACGTTAGCTAACGTCAACGGCTGCGCTGGGAACCTGTTCCTGGTCGTTTTTATTTATTTCGTTAACTAAAACATGGATTTAATACATTATTTACATTATTTTGAAGTGTGTGGATAGTCCTGGTGACTCAGAACCATTACACATCGATATTTAATTTAACAAGGCTTCAAAGGCTCCTCTGCCCGATGGCACAGAATAGCTACATAAGTGTGAGATACTAAATCCACTTTTTTGTGGATTACAATCACTTTATTTGTATTATTAAAGCAGCTTTTCACAATGATCTTTGTTCATAAATGAGAAACAAAAAGAAACTAAAATGAAAAAGCATCCCACGACCCTCCTCAGTGGGTGGAATTAACTATTTACTTTTATTTCTACAAATGGGTAGGAAAAAATAACTGAAATGCCTTTAAGTAAAATGTTAACGTTATATAACATTCATCTATCAGAACCACAAACTGTAGCCTCCAAAATAGCTATAGAGTAGCTCTCTTTATTACATCCGTTAAAGGAGGATAATGCATTAGACTGCATTAGATTCAGCGAGGCCTACCTAAGCTGCCAAGTGTAGGTTAACGTTATATGTGTCGTATGTTCAGTGGACATTTTATTTTGGAAGTGGTTGCAAATGGTCAGCGAGTGGCCATGAGGAGAGACAACCATAAGCAACAGTTGCATGTAAGTAATTATTGACAACAAAACACAAATTAGAGCTATTATAGATCTATAAATTGAAAATGTGAGACTTGTAAAAGCTTTTTATTTGCTAATTTTCATTTTGTTTTTTTTCTCCAGTTGTTTTGGCAGATCTTAATACATGGGAACAAGAGACTGTGATTATTCATGTTATTTGGTATAGGTCATATGCTTTATTTTCATAGTTATGTCTAGAAAATGATTAGGGAGCTTTATTCAAAGCCATCCTGTTGCTGAGCCAAATGGTGTGATGCTAATAATGACCCATATACAGTCTATGTAATGATCCTGTGTTGGATTTGAACACATGGTCATATGTTGTCACTGTCCAAGTATTTCCAAGTTTTAAGATTTATTTATATACAGTTTTAATTCTACATATCGCCATTATGTCTGTGTTTTGGTCTAAACCTTTTACTGACACAGGTTACATTCACAACTAGTTTAAGTGTGTTGTGGTGGAAGTATGACTGTTTTAAACATACAGAGCACAGAGATGGACCGTGGATTATGTTGCATGATTGGTGTGTGTGAGGTTTATATTAGTTTTGATGTTTTTTACCCACCACACTTAATAGCCACTACCGTTCAGGCGCACGGGGGTGAGTACTGGATATTAAAAAGACAGATTGGAGTATGAATTTAAGACAACAACTTGTTCTCCTCTCACAGTCTCAGGGAGCAGCTGGCTGATCTTTACCAGGCCATTCACTCCTCTGCAAACACGAGTTTGCTGCCGCAGTATGAGGAAATCGTCCACTCTCTGATCAGTCAAAGCCTGGAAAACAGGCTAGAGTGTGAACAGCTGGAGACCAGTTTAAAGCGGTAAGTTCAAATGTCAGCATTTTCCTATGTGGGGTCTGCACAGAACAGCTGACCTGTGAAATAGACAGAATGATGATGTACACTCTTATGTGTCTTTGTGTGTATGAGAAATTACACTCAGTATTAGCATTTATAAGTTAATGTTTAAAACTGAATTTATTAGAAAGTTAGTTTTATAGGATTCACCATTGTCCTTTAGTGTAACCAAACTGCCTGTAGGTTTGTTTTGACTACAGAGCAGTGGTGCACCACTGCCCTCTTGTGGCTGTAAACCCATAGCTGGTGGATACCCAGAACCTTTTTTCTCCATGCACTGACTGAGATTGCCTGCTTGATTAAAAGCTGCATTAATTCATCTTTGCCCACTAGACTAGAGGGCAGAAAAAACATCAAAACAAGTAGAATAATACACATCTGACATTATTGCATATGGTAAACATGTTAGTAAGCAACTGCCTAGTTGCACATCCAGCAAACTAGCCTTCATTTGCCTTTGTCCACCAGACAGATGTTACATCCAACGTTCACTCTCTAGCTTCTAGAGGTTCACTGTCGTTATCAGCTAATCACCAACTTTGGCTGTCAGGTAGCTTGCTTAGCAGAAAAAAGCTGGTTGATGAGAGCAGTGCAGACTTAAAACATGCTTCTAATTCTCTAATTCGTCGCCTATGAGTTATTTGATTCAAATGTTCAATTAAATGTTAATATCGATTAGTTTTAGTGTTATTGGGTCCTTCTGGTTTGTCAGCTGGTCATAGTGTCACTTTTAGATTTTTTACAGTGGTTCCTGATGTTCAAGCTGAACAGTGATTCTCAATACGGTAGGTTGTATTTTAAAGGCATAAGGATGTTAGTTAAGTCTTTAATTTGTTTCCTTTTAAATCTGTGAAGTGATCACTCACATACTACCTTGAACTGACTATTGAATTTCATTCCTACGACATGGGAAGGAATCGCGTGTGTAAGCTGTTTTTTATATAGTGTTAAAGCTTTTTCCTGTTGTTCAGTAACTACACAACATGAGAAAGGTGACATTCCTTATACAGGGAAGTAGGAAGACTTAAATGTGCTGCCCTGCCTTGTTCTTTTAACCCTTTTACGCACTGGATGTACCCATCTATTGTACCTACATTTCCACAATCTGTTGAAGTAAATAGCCCGTAAAAATCGTGACATAAAACTTGTACTAAACTAAAATCAGTCACATGAGATGTCCTGTTGGGATACTCACTGACAAACTTTAGTACGTGTGTGGAATCTGCCTTTCAAAGGCTGTCCCTCCCTCGCCTCTGGTTGGTTCATGTGTTGTGTGACGGGAGCAGAGCAGTCACAACTGCAGCGTGTTTGAAGTCAAATCAGTCAGGTAGAATTGACACATGGAGAGAAGGTGGATGGATTCTTGTTTTTATATTGCTGCTGTGTTCATCTCTTGGACTACTGTTGGAGAATCCGTTTCGGCTGGCCAGCACAAACTCAAACTTCTTTTTCTGTTCAAACAGAGCGGAGGAGATGAACAACAGTCAGCTGACAGAACTGGAGGACGATATACAGCAGCAGCTACGCAGAACAGAGGAGAGGGTGAGAGATGAGGTAAGTGTGATACCTGCAGTATTTATAGTGGACGATTGCTCCTGTGATTAACTTTTAATCGTTATAGTTATTCAAGTTAAATGTATGAAACCAGATGAGTTGGCTGTCTGTGCAAGCAGCTGCATTTCACCAGTAAACAGAGAAATGGACTAAAAGAACGTATTTTATTTCATCGCAAAGTGAACATTTATACACATTCTCCTTTGCTTCTTGTGAGCTACCTCCATATTTGTGGTGTAGCACACAGCAGCAGGTTACATGCCTCCTCACAAAGAGCTCTCTGTAAAGTCAGATGAAAGCCCCTCTTCAAGGCCTGAGCGGACCTGCGCCTCTAACTGCTTTTGATTTCATGTTTGTAGGAGCAAAAGAAAATGGAGGGAATTTTGGCGACCATGCGGAGGAAGTATGAGAATGAGGTCACAGACCTGCATGCAACGGTGGACCGACTTTTAAATGTGGGTTTGCCCCACACAACATGCATTTACCACTGAAAGCCACTGTACCTGAAAGACAACACAAAAGCGCCTGCACGTTTCCAAATTTCTCACATAAAATGTTTTAGGTTACCTTTCAAAGAGCATTAACCTATTAAGAGCCAATAGCTTGCATCCACATAAAGTACATCTACAATGTGACAAGATCCAGCTAAAGACACTTCACTCAAAGCAGCAGAATGCAACTGAAAATGTGTCTCCAGTGTCCCCTCGTGATCAGTTTATGTTTCTCCGCTCACATTATACAGTAGCAAAATGTGACTACTGCTAAACTAAAATACACACTTGTGGTTAGCTTCACACTGAGAGGATTGTGGTGAGGATTTGCATGGATAAAAGTAACTTTGAGTTAGATAGACCTCATTCAGAAACTGCTTAGATGCAGTTAGTACAAGGACAAGCATAGAGGATAATGTTTGAGAAATCGCTGCATGTATACAACTTGTGGAATGCTGTTGTTAGCCACCTAGCCATGCTAGCTCCCATGGTTAATGCTTACACTCAGTTTATGCTCACGCAGCTATATGCTATTTCTCATTCTTGCTTTTCCGCTGCACTGGATTGCACCACCAGTGGTACTTTTCACTTTACAACTGTAGATGACCTGTTAAAGATCGCCAGAGGAAAGTTTTGCAAGAGTAGCAGCAATTTTAACCTACAGATCTAGACATGTTGATGTTGCCACCTACAGGCAATGTGGGCAGCGTGCGAGTAAGAGGCAGTGTGAATTTCATGGATCTGCAGTAGCTAAGCTGTAGGCTACACCGGAGTTGATGTGCGTTAGGACCACAGTGGCTACGTAGACAGCATGAGATTGGTCACCTCGGGCAGCTTGACTATTGCTGATAGTGAAGACCAATGCAGGTTAAAAGAAGGCTCAGTGATCTTCTCCTTTTCAGTAACACACAGTGAACCTACAGCATGTAAACACAATTACTTAAACCTTTGATTGCATTGTAGAAGTCTTCCGTTCATTACAGAGATGAAGCAAACCGTCCCATTGTCTCTCTACATCACAGAGTAAATAAGAGTGCAATAATCAAAACAGTTTATTCCCTGATATTGAAAACTGTTCATATCGTGTTTCAGTGGCGCTATCAACAGGTGAAATCTGATGCTGTACTATATGTCAATATCAATACCTGAACAAGTCTGCCGAACATCACGACTCTCAAAAACAATTCCACCTTGAGCATTTCCACCAACAGAGAAAATGTGTAATAACACCAACGTTTATAGTTGAAATGTGCAGCACAAGCGACAGAGCTCAGTCAATCTACGTTGCAAGTTTTCTTTCATGTATACCAGCAGTTAGTGTATGCTGCAGTTAACAGTTGTTACGACTTGCAGATTTAAAATGTATAAAACCTCAAACACACACATTCTGTAAACAGCAGCTATAAAGGAGAAAAATGTGATCATACTCAATGTCTCCATTTGGCATATATCATATGTCAAATTGCTGACAGTTACTTTCCTTGCCTGTAGACGGCGATCTTTGACATGAAAGGCCCCATCCACACTATTGCGTTTTGTTTTAAAACAGAGACCTTTTGCTACGTTTGCACCTCACGTCCAGACTAAAACGGCGAAAACGAAAACCTAAAATGGAGAAGTTTGAAAACGGCTGCCCCGTTTTTTGTTTTAAAACTCCGGGATGACTTTAGAAACGATGACGCAGACGCTCACGTTTGGCTCTCTGAGTCTCATAAGTCATGCAAAGCAGAAACATGATGCTACCAGCAGAGTTTTGACTTGGTATTTTATTAAGATATATATTGTACCATGCACAGCCTATAGCCTACACTTGTACTGTATATGTTGCCTATGTACTTTGCAACGACCTCCAGTCTGTTTTCTGCCGCCACAGCCACTTTTAACTCAGGTGTTACATTCAGTAATAGTCCCAGCTCATTATTGGTCCATGCAAAATAATATCTGGTGTGGTTCTTTGTCTGTAGTACTTTATTCTTTTGCCAAATCTTCTGTAACTATGGAATAAACCATCTGCTTTATGATTACACCGGCATGTGTATGCCCAGTGTACGTGAACGTTGCTTTAATGTAGACAGAGATTAACTCTGATACGCAGCTAAAACACTGGTGTGGACGGAGATCGTATTCGTTTCGTAACAAAAACAGATTAGTGTAGATGGGGCCTGAAGCTAGACAGAGTAATCAGCTGGGCCAATATTAGCTTATTGCCATTATACTGGTATTGGTGTATATGAGGCTAGACATACTGTAGCAGTACAACCAAGCCGAAGATATGTTTGAGGTCATTTAGAAGCAGAGCATCACAGAGCACTCACACGTTTATCAATACATTTCTGGGTCACAATTCTTTAAAATACAAATTTAAGAGATCCTTACAAAAATGTTTGTGTGTAATGTGTCCATGTCAGTTCGGCTATATTTGTCATGTCTACATCTGCAGGTCAAATGATTATTAAAACACAATGACTTATCATCTAAACATCTAAAACTGTTTAACAAAATGCTTGTGTAAATGTCTATTCTCAAGAGCCAAAAGGACTCTGAATTGAACCAGTCAAAGGAGGAGGTGGTCAGACTGAACAAACAAATCCGTGATCTCTCACAGGTAAGTCATTTTGGAAGTGATTGTTTGACGAGTCACATGAAGGTTGGCGGCACGGTGGTCCAGTGGATAGCACTGTGGCCTCACAGTAACAAGGTTGCGGGTTCAAATCGTGGTTGCCCTGGCCTTTCTGTGTGGAGTTTGCATGTTCCCCCCTGTGCATGGGTTTCCTCCCACCACCAAAAATATATTAGGTTCTCCGGTCAGTGCTATTAACCAGACACTGGTAAAGATCTGGAGTTGGTCCCCGGGCGCTGCTCCCTTGAGGGATGGGTTAAATGCAGAGAATTAATTTTGCAACATGTATGTGTATGTGACAGTAAAGTATCTTCTATCAGGTTGTATGGAATTGTTCGAGTTATTCACTAAATCTCCTCACAGGAAAATGAGCAGCTGCGGGCCTCCCTGCTCCAAGCCGAGACAAACATCGCCGTCTTGCACGCGGAGCTGGACAAGCTGAAGAACATGTATGCAGACCAGAAAGCTCAACACCGAAGGTCAGGCACTGTCTTTAAGCCTCAGCTTATGTCTGAATGTGATCCAGCATCCAGTACAACATGTGACTTGTATTTCGTTACAGAGAAACAGATGACTTGAGGAGGATGGTTGTGGAATACCAGTCATATTCCAATCAGATTCAGGTTCTCCAGTAAGTCTGTCTTTCACTTGATAAAGCTGTGTCTAGTGTATTTTATTTAGCAAGGTTGTGTGTGTGTCTGTGTGTCTAAATCAGGAATACAGGGATTGGTTAGTTTCAAGTCTCACTGTAAATTGTCTTAACACATTTCTTTAACTGCCCCCTATTTAGCATTATAAGCAGTATATAAACATCTACTAAATGTTTATAAGACACTATAATGTTGTTGGGAGCAGATTAAAATTTTTATTAATGTATTTTTTAATAACTGTTAATCTTGTGGGCACCTAGAAGTGGATGGTTTTTTGTAATGAATGAGAATTAGTGAATCATAGTTGTAATAATATGTCATAGGAGAAATAATATTGACAAATACTGTACAACACTTAAAACATTTATTTATATCTCTGTACACCTACCTTTATATTGTATTATAAACAATGTATTAAATGTTTAAATAGTGCTTATAAACAGCCCCTATGTTACGGGAATATTTCTATTTGTGTGAACCAACCCTTTAACATACTTTGATTACCAGAAGTACAGGTGTAAGTGTATTTAGTGGACAGCACAATCTATATGAGGCACATAGTAAAGCAATAAAGGCATACTAGAGTACTCATTTAGTGTACTTGCTACATCCACACTATTATGTCTTTGTTGTCTACACCGCAGTTGCTGAAGATTTAGTGAAAAAAGAAAATACTACTACAGACGAAGAACCACACCAGAGATTTTTTTGCATGGGGTGACAACCGTCTGCATTTTAAAACGAAAACATGGTAGTGTGGATGAAGCCTTAGGATGCTTTGTTAAACCACATCCAACGTGTCCCTCGGATTGTCAGTGCAACTTGTTTCCACACAACTGTTGCATGAAAGTAAATGTTTGTACATGCATCTGACCCTGTCTTGTATTTCCTTGAACATCATTAGGGAAACTAACAAAAAGCTGTATGACAGTAACGACGGACTGCGCTCTGCGTTGGCCAGTGAAGCGGTTAAAAGGAGGGTGAGTTCCTTGTTTGCTGATTGCATATGTCCTTATACCAACTGGCTCTACGATCAGATAGAAGGTGACAGTAAATTGTTTTCACTAGTACAAGTGTACAAAAAAAAAGTTTCCTCCCTGACACTCCTAATCTGCTCTACAGCTGTCTCCCCAAAATGAAATCCCCGCCCGAAGGATGAAACCCCTCCGACAGAGCACACTCAACCACGGCAGGTATATAAAGTTTTTAACACACCTCTGTGAATCTGCGGATTGATCTTGGCTAATTAAAGTGTCACAGCTAAAGCTATAGTGCGTGTGTCGGTGCTTTGGAGCAGCTCAGAGCCGGATTCCAGCAAAACAACCTACTTTCATGTGGCCACCTGGGCTGATAGGTATCTGGACAGTGGAGTCTCCATGGCGATGGACACAGCCGAGAGCGCAGGCAGCGATTATGACAGCGACGACAGTAGGAGCACGGTGGAAACTGTGCACCACAGTTACTCCTATGTCCCGTCCGATGTGGAGGTCAGAACACACCTCAAGTTCAAATAGTGGGTCACATAATGCCAGCATGCTGTTGAGCTGTGAGGACCTTAAATTAGTATAGTCTTTGTCTGTTGCAGATATCAGAAGTGAAATCTGAAGCTGCAGTGTCGGTGGCTCCTAGCAGGGCGAGCTCCATTGCATCGTCCCTACGAAGACGTTTGTCTGCATTTTCCACAAAGGTGAAATGGCTTTTAAATGGATGAGACTTCCTCTGTATGCGTTGATTTTAGTGATTTGTATGTAAAGATATATAGGTTCAAAGCAGACATTTTGGAGACATTTTAAATGAGAGAGAGAGAGAGAGAGAGAGAGAGAGAGAGAGAGGCCATTTATTTACTAAAGATTAAAGAAAAGTAAAAACGGGTAGCAGAAATTTCTGCTTTCCTCCCATGTTAATCATCTCACTGTCCCTCAGATATATTAATATATATATATTAAATTAAATTGTGACCCCTCCTGGGGGTCCGGACGCATAAACTTTTATTTCTCCTTATGCTAATTAGCAAATGTTACCATGCTAACATGCTAATTTAAGATGGTAAGCATTAAACTGGCTAAACATCCCCGTCAATGTGAGCATGTTAGCATGCAGATGTTAGCATTTAACTCAATGCATGGCTGTGCCCAAGTAGATTAACAGCTTCACAGATCTGCTAACATGGCTGTAGACTCTTTGTCTTGTTAAGACGTGAGAGCTGCATACCACTGTTGTTTTAACAGCATTTAAATGACTATATTTCAATGTGTATTTCAGCTATATGTTGACATATGGTGATTGAAATGCTATTAAAAACAAGAGTTATTTGATGTCTTATGACCCACAGATTAGTAAATACATCTGACCAAAGAACTCCACTTACTAGGTTTTTCTCGAACTTTCAACCACATCTCATAGTTGTCATCAGCAGATGGAGCTTTCTCAGTTATATGGAAACTCAGTTGTGATAACAGATAGTTGTATAATGAAAAAGATGAGATTTCATAAAGGAAAAAACAGCAACAACTGGACCTTGAGTTTAACTTCTTAAGTCCAAGGATCGAGAATAAATATTGACTCTCAACTAAATAAATGCTGACGGCCTACTTTTTCTTTATAATAAATAAAACAAACAACTAAAATAATTTCCACATAAAATGGGGTAAGCTTGTTATCTTCTGTTCCAATCACGAAGCCTTTAGAAACAGGCATAGAAGAAACTGAGGATCCTGGTCCCATGTACCGTCTGGTTTTAGCTGGAGACGCGGGAGCTGGAAAGTCCAGCTTCCTGCTGAGACTGACGCTCAATGAGTTCCGAGGAGACATTCAGACGACGCTGGGTGGGTGCCACAGCAAACGCATCACATTCAATCAAACACTGACGCATTCTTGATTTCAGACATTTAAAGCTGCTTTTTTTGGTTCGCAGGAGTTGATTTCCAAATAAAGAGGATGCTAGTGGACGGAGAGAAGACGAGTCTGCAGATATGGGACACAGCTGGGCAGGAGAGGTGGGTGCTGTACTGACTCCGGTATAGTGTTTCTCAAGGAAGCAGCAACAGGAAAAACATGGTGCTATCAACTAAATCTGGTTTTTGGGGGTTTTTTTGTTGTGTGTTTTTTTTATTATTACTGAAGAATGGGAAATACACTAGACTAAAAATAGTGTTGTATTTCTTCTTACTGCAGATTCCGTAGTATTGCCAGGTCCTATTTCCGTAAAGCTCATGGAGTCCTGCTCCTGTATGATGTTACTTCAGAAAGCAGCTTCCTTAATGTCAGGGCGTGGGTGGATCAGATTCAGGTAATTCTGGAAATGCCAAAAAATATCAAATGACCATGCCAAAAATCAAGAATATATTTTACAACGTTTTTTTGTTTTTATACAGGATTCAACGGACGAGAAAATCCCCATGTGTGTTATTGGAAACAAGGTGGACCTCCGAGAGCAGCTACCAGAGGGAAGCAGTGTGAGCAGTTTGCATGGAGAGAAGTTGGCCAAGGTGTGTAACTTTTCATCCCACCTGATGGAAATAAGTTTATACAGACGCCCGGCCTCCCAGGTGTCTAAATAAACTGACTGCAGTCAGGTATGTCGTTGCTTTGCTTGCAGGCATACGGCGCCTTGTTCTGCGAAACCAGTGCCAAAGAGGGAACCAACATTGTCGAAGCTGTGCTTCATCTAGCGAGGTAGGAGGCCAGAGAGAGAGAGGGCACGCTTGAGTTTAAAGTGTGTGTTTTTTTTAATTAATTAATTTATTTTTATTTACGAAACCATGGCAACACTTAAGACTTGTTTTCCCCTGTCCATAGAGAGGTAAAGAAAAATGTCACTCTGAGGCGGCAGTCAGATTCTCAGGTCAGACTGAGTCCATCAAACCCAAAGAAGACTCTTAACGCCTGCTGTGGACTGTAGGTGATTGATATCTGTGGGTACGATGGAGCAATGAAGGACACCAAATGATTTTTATTTTTTGATGATGAAGAACATTTTCTTAAATATTTTAACCTTTGAAATACTTAAACTCAAATATATAAATATATATAAAATATATTTTCATGAAAGTTAATTCTTTAATCAAAATGAAGATTTATATTGTTGGAAAATTGCAGAAATATAAATGCAGGTAATGTAATCATCCTTATGTTTTTGTTAGCTTTTATATTTATTTAGAAGTAATTTTATGAAGTAAATAAATAAGGAATATTATGTGCCTCAGTTGAGATGAAATAGTTAAATAGAAGTTGGAAATGGTTTTGCCAGACAGTTTTTAAATGAATGCACATTTTTTTTCTGCTGTGAGACCAAATGTCTGCGACAGAGGTGTTTGTCTTTTTCTCTAGATCTTTTCAAGGACCAAAGATACATTTTTTTTTTTTTTTTAAACATTTTTATTGAGCATCAGTTTAAGCGATATTACATTTTACTTTCAGCACCTTCAACATTGGAGGATTGATCAAATATCTCTCATGTTGAAAGTTTTATTTGTTTACTAAAATGACTCATTGTAGTTTGTAGTTAGCCTTAACCAAAGTTTTTTTGTTTTTTTTTTAAATAACAAACCGAAATGTAACCTTTTCCAATTAAACACAACTGCAAATAAACTTCTGTCTGATCGATCAGCAGAAATCTCTCTCTCATAAATACTGTACGCCTTTCAGCGAGACATTTTTCTACCATGTGAAACTCCTCCTCATGTCTTCACAGTAGAAAACTCTTTTCAAATGAACTTGACTAAAGAGGACAGGGGACCAAACTCTGCACCTGCACATGATGATTTTCAAAGTTTCAGTTTCTCGCAGTCAGAATCATTGACGTCACTAAGCTGCCCAAGGCCACGACCAGAGCTCCGAGTATAAACTTCCAGGAAAGTCCCTAAAAACACAACAAAAACAGTCAAAATCCAGTCTGTCGGTTATCAGAAAAAAACACATTGGAGACATTTCTGTTATAGCTTACATGAGGTTTCTTCTTAGAAGGAACCAGAAAAGGTGTGATATTGTCGCCAAGCATCTCCGCTGGTTTAGCTTTCCATTCCTGAGTATCTTTGCCTCCTGATTGCCTTTTGACGATTTTAGATAACTCGACGTGGATCGCCTAAAGAGGAGCGGGAGAAGGGTTCCATATTAACACATCCTAATGTTGGACAGAGAAACATGAAACCTTTTTATCAAGAGAAAAATGTGAACATGCAGTTTTAAAAAATATCCAGCAGGTGAGAGCAGAGGTCTGAAACACAGAGTCATGACTAAGGCCAAAAATGTAAGAAGCCAGCAAATCATAATTTTTTTGCCTTTAAAATTCACTTTAAACTATATCCTAAATGTCCCTGCAAGGGACTTAACATATTTTGCAAACACTTCCAGTAGATCTTCATTAAAGGTTGTAACCTGTCATAAAATGTATTAAAATACCAGTTCATAATGCAGTTTTGTTGCACCTCCATGTTTCTTTGTGTCCATCTACAGACTGCAGTACAATAACTTTCTCACTGAGCAGCTAAATCAGTTTTCTCCACGGTATTTAATCCAGGACTGAGACAAGGGTGTAATTACCCAAGCAGCAGATATTTTCGTTTTGTCTAGACAAGACCAGACATATTTGGGATGGTGGCAGTGTGCCCTATAGGTCAAGTCACTGTAATACTGGCAGCAGTGTGTTGTAAACCTCAGTCTGCAGTGAGTGGAACCAGTGAACTAAAATAATGTTCATAAACTGGGATTGTTGTTAATTTTTGTTGTGATGAACAGTACACCAGAGTGGTTAACCTAATTATACAGTATGGAGACTATATTGTAGCTGAAAGGGTGACTCTGGCTCTTTCTTACCTTCACTCTACTACTTTTGGAGTGCAGGGCGTCAGAGTTACAATATTTAGCTCAGTGTCTGTCTTTACTATTTTTTTTTTTTACCTAGTTTGCCGGACAACTCAGAGCAGTGTGGTCACATCTGCAGACTGCCACATGTGCAGTCGGCCAGATCCTCTGTGGAGGATTTGGCAGATTACACAAACCACACAAACAAGACAAAACAGGCCTTCAACACAAGCAGCTCACTGGGATTCGAGGCGTCTCTTTTCTTCAGGCTAATGTGTGAACAGCTTTCCTTTCAAATTCTCTAAATGTTCATATTGAACATGAAGGGGGTTTTCTTCATGATGAAGATGTGGTGTTTCCCAAATGTTTTTTCTGGTAACTGCGATGATGCAATAAAAACAAGCAGCTGTAAGATATAAGCGTGTGGATGAAGATGAGAGGAACTTAATGAGGTGGTAAATGAAATTCATTGTCCTTTAGTATCATGATTTACAACAGAGTGTTGTTTGAAAAGTACCAGATCCAGATTTAATAAGAATTGGGGATATTTTCTAAATAGGTTCTGCTAACGTTAGCTGTCTGTTCCGTGTGTACGCTGAAAACACTTTGTTTTTTACGCAGCCTGGCTCTGTAAATAAGGAAACAAAGTGGCTCGGACCGAGCACACAACACTATTCCAGCTATGGTTTGTGTATCTGTAGTAAATAACTTCAAATGACTTGCAGACAGACATTAAGCTTACTTTGTAGTTTGCCAAGACGTGCTGTTGTGATGTTAGCTATAGTAGCAGGAGAGTTGTGAGTATCGCTGTCTGGAGCTGCTGGGGTGTCTCTGGGACTGTCTCGTCCTCTTTGCATGTTAGCTTCATGTTAGCTTCATATGTTACTTACGGTACTTGCTGTGTTGTTGTTTGCGCTATATCATGGTTATTTGTCATTTAATTGGGTTTCTTCAGAATCGCTTACTCCACCTTTTAAATTAAGTTTGAGGTTGTTCAACTTTGTAATAATAATAACCTTTCAAGGGACCCAAGGACACTTCAAACATAAACAACACAAAAACAACAAAAAACTAAACTACAAAAGGAAGTCATTAAGAATTATATGCCTTGTTGGGTTTCCAGAGAGGGAACGTTGCGGATCTCTGAATGTATGGAGTTGAGGTCAATATATTGTCAGATGCTGGTTGGTATAGATATTAGAATTTTTGGTTTGTGGTTTATTTTCTTACATATTTTAACCTTTGAAATACTTAAAACTCAAATATATAAATATATATAAAAGATATTTTCATGAAATTTAATTCTTTAATCAAAATGAAGATTTATATTGTTGGAAAATTGCAGAAATATAAATGCAGGTAATGTAATAATCCTTATGTTTTTGTTAGCCTTTATATTTATTTAGAAGTAATTTTATGAAGTAAATAAATAAGGAAATTATGTGCCTCAGTTGAGATGAAATAGTTAAAAAGAAGTTGAAAATGGTTTTGCCAGACAGTTTTTAAATGAATGCACATTTTTTTCTGCTGTGAGACCAAATGTCTGCGACAGAGGTGTTTGTCTTTTTCTCTAGATTTTTTCAAGGACAAAAGATACATTTTATGACACATTTTTATTGAGCATCAGTTTAAGCGATATTACATTTTACTTTCAGCACCTTCAACATTGGAGGATTGATCAAATATCTCTCATGTTTAAAGTTTTATTTGTTTACTAAAATGACTCTTTGTAGTTTGTAGTTAGCCTTAACCAAAGTTCCATGGCCACTTTTTTTTTTTCAATACCAGAATATTTTCCAGGGCCATTTTTTTTTAATGACAAACCGAAATGTAACCTCTTCCAAATAAAACAGACACAACTGCAAAGAAACTTCTGTCTTATCGATCAGCAGAAATCTCTCTCTCATAAATACTGTACGCCTTTCAGCGAGACATTTTTCTACCATGTGAAACTCCTCATGTCTTCACAGTAGAAAACTCTTTTCAAATGAATTTGACTAAAGAGGACAGGGGGCCAAACTCTGCACCTGCACATGATGAAGTTTCAGTTTCTCGCAGTCAGAATCTTCCCTTTCAAGGGACCCAAGGACACCTCAAACATAAACAACACAAAAACAACAAAAAACTAAACTACAAAAGGAAGTCATTAAGAATTATATGCCTTGGTGGGTTTCCAGAGAGGGAACGTTGCGGATCTCTGAATGTATGGAGTTGAGGTCAATATATTGTCAGATGCTGGTTGGTATAGATATTAGAATTTTTGGTTTGTGGTTGATTTTTGTGTCTGAATAACTGACCACACTCAAAGATTTGTATATTCATTAATTGTAAAATACATGTCAAGGATTGACAGTGTTTGGCATTGAAATTTAAATATTTTACTATCACACATTTGAGAAGTTTATTTATTAAAGCAGGGGTTGGTAATGGATAGGATTCACAAGCAGATTTGGTAGAAATGTGGGGAGACTGGACCATCCAACATAATCTCACCTTGGTAGCCGGCTCGAGTTTCAAGGCCTTTTTTAGCACCTCCATGGCCTCTTTGTATTCACCCTTGTCTGACAGGAGCTGAAAGAGATTAGACAACCTACAACGTGAGCAGCACTGAAGGACCTATACATCCAAACAGGCAGAGAACAGATAGCACTAATGTACCAGCAATTTTTTCCTTAAAAATAATTAAATGGAGCAATGTAGAAAATGCAGGATCAAATTAGATCCTCCTCGCAGTTGCAGCAATGTTGTCTCTTGGTTATAACACAACAGGATGGGCCCTCACTTTTCCTGCCCTGAAAAGGGCCTTGACATTGTTTGGGTCGAGGGTCAGAACGTCCCGGCTGGTGTGCAGTGCCTCATCATATTGCTCCAGTTTGAGCTGAGCGGTGGCCAGGTTGTTCAAACACTTCACCCGGTAGTCCTGCACCTCCTCCTCCTCCGCTTTCACGCTGCCATCACCGCCATCTGTGCAGAGACAGAGCCACCCAACCTCAGACACAAATACTGTAGACATAAAAAAGCTCAGAAAATCTTGCAGTATCTAAAAAACAGTTGGACTTTAGCAGATCAACTCCCATCAGGTGTCATTATAAGCATAGTTCATGTTCTGCTTCTTTCTTCAGCTGGATATTGTATCGACGTCCCTGATGTAACAACTGCATGGTTTTGTCATTAGACCCAAACATGTCCAGCTGAATACAGCGGTGACCCAAGTAATGAGCACTTGTTAGCGCAAAGGGATTCTTCTACTTGGCCCTGAGTATGATGGGTGATAAATGTTGGCAGCTCAGGGACCACATCTGTCTTTTTATTACAAAACTTTCTATCAAGAATTTACGTTTGAGATATAAAGTGAATTTAGTCAATTCCGTTAAGGATGTGGTTCCAAGTTGAATTTTTTAAAGAGGTGGTATTATGCTCATTTTCAGGTTCCAGATCTTATTTAAGGGTTGTACCAGAACAGGTTTATATGGTTTAATTTTCAGAAAACACCATCTCCATTTTTTGTCATACTGCACATTGCGGCAGCTCCTTTTCACCCTGGGTTGAACGCTTTGTTTTAGCTATGGAGTGATACGTCTTTTCTCTAAATGATCTTTGTTGGGAGTTGCACATGCACAGTTCCTAGTTAAGGACTACTAGCCAATCAGAAGCAGAGAAGGGCAAGTCGGTAAACAGCTTCGGTTCAGCTGTAGGCTACATGTTGCCGACCAGCTTGGCAACATTGAATGGAGCAGGAGTTTCAGAGTGGTGAGTTATTAATCTGTAACAAATGTATCTTTCATCCATAAAGTTTTAACTGAGCTCTGTCTCTACATCACAGTAAGGGAGAGGAGGTGTGTGCTGTAGCTCAGTGTTTTTCCTCCGGTGTGTTGGACTAGCCGCTTGGCGAGCGTTATATGAGGCGTATTTGGGAAACGGCTGGACTACAACAGAGCTGTTTTCGGGAAGTTCAGAGCAGAGTTTTCTGTGGGAGATGGGAACTCCCTTTGGGCTGGGCTTTGGGCTTTTTCACTCTGCAAACCTATTGCATGCACAAAAAAGGTATATAACCCAATAAAGGAGAGGGAAAAGGCCAAAAAGTATAATACCACCTCTTTAAAGCAGTGTCAAGTGACATGCTGTAAACAACTTATCACCTTGTCAGCTGATATGGTCAATTTGTTAGCATACAGTTGTCTATTTAAATACAGTACATTAGTATTAAATTAGAGTTGTGTTTTATGGCAACCTGATGACATAATCACTCTCCTTTTAGCTCTGTTTTTGGTCTCTACCAACTCCTGAGGGAAATGTCGGGCTGTTTACCTGCTAAATGCTATAGTACAGTATGTTCAACAGCTAATGGCTAACTCTGACTGCTGTTTGGTGCTGAGTAGGTAGCGTACAGCTGTCCAGTGTGGCTGGCAACTATGTTTATGAGAGGGGTGCGAGTGAACCAAAAGAGGAGTTTTAAAAAACACCTTAAAAATACTAAAACGCTATGTTAATATAAAAATATTAATTAGTGCAGCTAACTAGTTAAGCTGCAAAGTCTATGAATCTCTCACTGAATTTGTTATCTTCTCTTTTTTTATTAGGGAAGAATGCAGTCCAAAACATTTAGGTATTTAGCACAATAGAAACTATTTGATCTGTCGGATAGTTTTGAGTTTTTGTCCACTGAAAGTGTTGAATTTGAATTTTTACTTATACATTCACATGTGATAAAGTGCTTTTAAACTTAGTCCCTACTCACATTGATTTATTTACTTCCATTAGAACAGTTACCTGTAAATGTGTGATCACTTCTAATGTTTATGTGAGTGCATGTTCAGTTAGTTGATATATTAAGAGTGATTAATAATCTACATGGCTCATGAATTGCAATTGTAAAATAAGTCTGACAGGCCCAAAATGACCCAAAAAGAGTTTTATGTTGGTGTCACAGCTACGTTATTATCTTTTTTTCCCCCTGCTCGTCTTATCACTCACTAATTACATGATGTCGATGCCCTGATAAACTCCTCTCTTCAGTGCCGCAATGAGTTCACTCACTGGTCCACCATCATTGATACATTATGAAGCAGCTCATGTTTTTCTCTTCACTGACTTGTTCAGTCACATTTCCCTCACGGGCCCACCCTGCCTCGTCAATGATTGAAGTGATTAAGAAGGTGGAAGTAATATGAAAGTTGATTAGCTTTGATTATGCAAAAGAATGGAGCAGAAACATTTATCGTGGCACTCTGCTCAAATAGATGCGTCTCTGCATGGTGATAGTGTGATTAGTGCTTGGCAGACTGGTGGAGAGCACGAAACTGTTATGTCATTTTGGGCTGAGACTGATGTGGAAATGTTGCGTCTCAGGTTTCTATCAAATGCTTGATGTTTTATGTTTTGTGTGTGTGTGTGTGTGTGCACTTCTGTTTTCTTTTTCCATTTTCACCTTTTTCCTAGAAGATAATGCTCACATCAACTACTAAACACATGGGCGACAGTATTGAAATATTTTCTATGAATAAATTCAGGTTTTTGATGCTGAGTTACCTTTGCTGCGGGTGGTTAGCACATCCAGAGCCATAAAATAGGCTCTGGCAGCCATGCAGTATTCCTCCCTCTGGAAATGGAAGTTTCCTCGCTCTCGTTTCTGGTTTCCGATGCGGATACGGTCTGCGATGGGCAGAGTTAGCGGGTCTGGTTTCTCTCTAATGTCCAGCAGCTGGAGCTGGTAGAGTAAAGGAGCCCAGGCTGGAATATCAGGCTCCCTGCGTGTAAACAAAGACAAAAACAAACACATAATCAATATCCTCACAGGGCAAAGAGCACAAGAGTATCCAAGAGTTTACTTTTGGTTAGTGGCCTTCTAAAATCATCCATAAAACACACTGTTCACCTTAAGACTATTCATATCAATCAAGAAATCAATCTGTTTTCAAGTGACTGTCAGCTTCAAGAAAAGCAGAAACAAGATCGTCAACATCCTGCACACCAAACTCAAAGCTTTGTAACTCATGCATGAAATGTGATGGTCATATTGGATAGTTTATTGAATATATACTTTGTTATGAAAAGCATAATTTAAAATAGTTTCATAACAAACTTATAGGGATGAGCAAGTACATAACTATCTGTATCTGTACTCGTAATAGGCGGGGCTTAACCTGGACGTGGGCGGACTAACCAAAAGTTAGGTATTTAAACCAGAAATTGATATGGGTTGATCAGAAGTTGCTACATTTATTAGAAAACTATTTACAGAACAGCCTCAGAATAGACCTCCATACTTGTTTCAACAGAGTACTCGCTCAACCAAGAGCACCAGTGGGTGTATGGGTCACCATAAAGTCCCAAAATGCTTCCAGGTCCAAAATCTTAGTTTACATAGCAGCTGCATATACAGCAATTTATCAAAACCAGACTCAACATTTAGTCATGAGCAACTGTTCTTAATAAAATAAATAACTTTGATTATAAGTTAAATATCAACAACAGAGACAAGACTAAGGTTGTCATATCTTGGACCCACACTTTGATCAACACACAGCTGACGTTATCAATCACTACCAGCAAACCCTCCTCAGTCTTTACCTTCTGCTGCTGCTCTACAAACCTGTATTCAGTAGTTCTGTACTGTATGTGTCTTTTGTGTGAACGTATTTGTATGTATTTACATTTTAAGGTACATGTAGTGCAGGGTATAGATTTTGTGGCCACAAAAAATCCCCCAAGGTTTTCTCGGAAAGTTTGACAATTTAAAGTTGCCTCCTAAAAAGCACAATGAAACAGCCTTTCAGTTTGGAATGGAAAGGGAAACGGTAGGAAACTCAACAATCTTTGAGTGAAAAGTCCAATGTCATGTTAACACAGTGGTACAGACAGTGATGATGACTGGCAGTGATTTTATTACATAACAACGCCTTGTGGAGTGTTATGAGTCCATGACATTAATAAAACAAATTGCAAACATGAAAAAATAAAGCAAATGCACAGTGATAATGACACCTGAGATTGAAACTCAATTAATGTGCACTGAATAGCTGAATTATCATGAACAAACTTAGCTAGATTAATAACAAAAAAGGGGCATGGTCTAATCCTTTATCTTTGATTAACTTATTTCTGTCTTCAACAAAACAATTGAGCTTTTGTGTACCTGCAATAAACTGTATTGCAGTACACTTACTTTTAACATGTTTGCATACCTCGTGACACACTTGTCGGGATTGCATTGAATATTAAACCTATTAAATCACTTTGAAAACATTAAGTTGAACCATGGTTCAATGCTAGCATAACTAGCTAGCATATCCAAACATCTGCATCAGTTAATCTCATGGTAACAACTTTTTTATGCGCTGAAATGCAGAGATAACTTTTATCTGAATGTGGATGTAAAAGAGCAATAGCCCCTTTCTCGTGCTCAGACATTAATGGTGGCCATATACAGTAGGTGCATCTGCTGTGGTTTTATACCAAGATTAAGAACTAAGAAAGCTTTGAGGAGGTATATTCCTTGAAGAGATGACTCAACTGAGCTGAAGATTTATTATTTAATCTGAAGTTTAAACTCTCCTATCAAGACAGTGACTATTAGAAGCATTTTTACATTTCCTACAACACCCCTCAAACTTTTTATGTCACGGCCTCATCTGTTTCAAAAGTTTGTTGACAAACATATGCAAACACAGCGTCCGGGGAAAGCTTGATATCAGTAAGAGAATAAATAGTGCAAACTGAAGATACATAGTGTTGTTCATGATATACTGTAAGTTAAATTAATAGATTGTCCTTCTATATGGGACAGAGCTTAAATTCATTTCGCACAAAACTCCTGCTCAGCACAGGTTGTTTATTTCAACCATACGGCTTTTTCGTCCCTCGTTTACCAGTAAATTGAATTGTTTCCGTAAAATTAACTGAATGATTGAATTGTGGCGAATCTCACCAATCGTATGATGTGTAGCATGTCCATATTGACAAAAGTGTTAACATTTATATTTGTATGCGTGATCTAAGCAGTTAAGAATTAGCTCAAGTGGGCTTAAGAGGTTTTATACATCCAAAGATCTAAAAACCAGACCATGAGTCTAATTGAGACCTGCGCTTATTTGTCAAAACGTGTATCCACACCAGGCCAGTATAAGGAACAGGCATCTAATTGGGATTAGGCTTTTAATTGAAGTTTCACAGTATTTGTGTTGTTTGTTTTTTTGTCATGAGCTTTGACAGCTGCTCTCTATATAGATTCAGTTTCACTGTTTCCAACACACTAACCTTAACAGCAACACCTATAGAGACATCTGAGTGACTCCAGCTAATTTAAGCAGACAAGAATTTGAAACTTATATGAACCTGTGAGCTGTCGCCAGTTTCAGTTTACTCAAGAGTCACTCAGAAGGAAAGTTAATTTGGTTTTCAATCACCTAGCTCCTGTGACCACATGGCACACAATGGTCCATTATCAGTTACTCTGAAGGCTCTGATTCCAAAGGTATGTGTGTCTCTGTGAGCGTGAGTCACAGCTAGAGTTCATTTTGAGAGGCTGATTTTGGAGTGGCCTGCAGTATTGATTGTACAAGAAATCAAAAAAACTCCTGTTTCAAACCAAGTCAGACAAGAGTACCGGGAGTTGTGTCGGGTCGTGAATTATTGAAATTGGTTGTGTCAATGACACAATTTATGTCTGTCTAACAGAATTTGTTGTATCCCCAGCTACTGGGAGGCTGTGTCAGCAGGTGGGATCAGATTACCCTTTCACCTCTCCTCTCTGGAGACCTCGTCCACTGTCACAGTACGCACAGGAGTGTGAAACCAGCAGCTGATCCGAGGCCCCAGAAACCTGAGCCGGATCCCTGTGCTCAGCACTGGAGGAAGTAGTGTTCAGAGACGTTATCATTTAGGAGTGTGAATAAGTAGATGCCGGTCTTTTAGAAGGCAGTCTGAACAATTTTTGAAGGCAGCGTTTAGTCCTGTTGACTTGTTTTTGCACACCTCTGCATGTTTACGAGGATCAGAGCCGAGTTGTGTAAAAGTCGCTCATAGGCAGCAGAGTAGAAGGCAGTTCCTTTAGAACATAAAGCACATGGCTTGGGTACTTGGTACTGTTAGCCTTTTCATAACATTTCATTCATCTGAGTATTAGTGATGGATCCTTCTTTCCTGATAGTGTGATGGTGATGGTGTCCAGAATGTGACACCATCATTAAATGATTTGCTGCACAGTCTGTACAGTGCACACGCATACTGTAGCCATTTCCCCTTGGTATACTTCTCTCCACTCTTATCTGAAAATATTACACAAAATTCCAAAGGCTGCATATTATGTAACAGCGTGCAGCGTATGTGTATAACAATAACACACACAGTGTCCTGCCTACTGTGCCCTGCTAGTGCCTGGCCCCAGATTAAATGTACTTCTGTGAATTAACCTCTTAAGAAACCAGTTGTTTTTAAGTTACTGAATAAACAAGGTTATACTGAGCTTGATTTCTTAATCAGGGCAGATGCAGTAGAATGAGAAACCTGGTAGGTGGCTGCTTTGGAGTTATTCTAATATTTTGTGTCACAGTTCACAAATAATGTCCCAAATACTGACTCCTAAGCTTTGTCTGAAATGACTCTCTCCTTCACTATTCCCTTTACGGCGATGGAGGAAGATACCTTTCTTAAGTAAAAGCAGTAATGTGAATAGTACCATCAGGAAAATGTAAATGCATCAAAAGTCAAATTTACCCCAGTTATTGTTATACTATCATATAATTTTGGATTATTTTAAGCAGCTTTGTACTACTTGGACAGATCCTCTGCAATCATGGCCTCCATTTTCACTGCTATGACGATGACACTCTACTTTACCTCTCCTCCAAATCTATCACCCATGCCACCTACACCACCCTCACCACCTGTGTCGCCAACTTAAAGTCTTAGATGTAACAGAACTTCCTCAAACTCAACTGCAATAAATCTGAAATCCTCATCATCGGCTAACTCCCTCACCCGCTCTACCCAGACCTTTTCACTCAACATCGATGGCTCCATTGTCACACCCTCCACCCAGGTCTGCAACCTTAGAATAGAATTGCCCCATGTCAACCAGGTCACAAAAACTGCCTTTTCCACCTTAAGAATATCGCCTGCCTCCGGAATACTCATCACATGCCCTCATCTCTTCCAAACTTGACTACTGCAACAGCATCCTCTACGGTTCACCAAAAAAAACCTCAATAAACTTACGCCCAAAACTCCGCTGTCCACTTGCTCACTTCTTCCTGTCACCTCCACTGGCTCCCGGTTAAATACAGGATCCACTTTAAACCTCTACTTATCACCTACAAAGCCTTAAAAAACCTGGCCCCTCCTACCTCTCCAACCTCCTCCCCCGCCACCTCTCCACACATCACCTTAGGTCCAAGGACGCAGCAACACTTATTCATGCATGGACATGGATTCAAGTACAAATCCCTGTTTTAAAGTTTCAGGGCAACAACTTGGTTGAAGTTCAGTTTATCACCATTTGTCTTTTGTCTTTGCCAGCATCCTCCGGTGTTCATGGTAAAATGGGTGTTATAGTGATGGTATTTAATATGTTACATGTGTCACGCATCAGTCATGTGGATTATCTTTCAGGACAAAGGGGTGGGGTGACGGGGCCTTTTCCATTGCTGCACCCTCCCTCTGGAACGCCCTCCCTACCCACATCTGACAGGCTAACTCCTTGCCATCAGGCCCTCAAAACCCACCTTTTCAAGACTGTATTCCCCAGTTA